CCAATTGGGGGGGGGGGGGGTAAAGTTGTCTACCGATTATCGGTACGAAACTTTTGATAGGTTCATTTTTTCAACAAGATCAGCATTTACTGCCAAACAATGGCAGGGTAGCTAGAGGCACAATTGTTTAATGCTGCGTGAATTTTGTCGACACCAAACGTTAAATTTCAGTTAAAACGATTAAACATGCAATCATCACAACAAACACATTGCACAGAGGGAAAATCAGAAAGATTGCAGAATTTAGTCATGGCCCACGATTTTTTTGTGGTTCTCTTGTTAACCCTACTTTGTGGGTAGCCGTACAAGATTGGAACGAGACGAATTTCGATAAAAGCTCAAACAAAATGGATTGTTTTGTAAAGAGTAGACCGGAATAATGACCATTGAGTTTCGAACGAATGCGTCAACGGCGACATCCAACTACGACCGTATCTCTTTCCGTAGTATGGCCTGACGGCTTAACACAGATGCTTTCGTTTTCATTCCACAGAACTCGAACGGAGAATCACGCTGTTTATCTTTTTTAACAAAGCAATATGGGGTTTGAATGTGCGTTCCTTTTGTCTCCGCAAAGAACTTAGTGAGAGACGCTGTCCCTTCTTTGGACACGCTGACGTTTAGACACACCATAATATTTCAAAATGGTATCAATTGTTTAAGTAACAATGTGAACAAACATGAGTAGCCAGAAAGGGCGAGGTGAAAACGGTAAATAATCCATTTTAGGACGTTCACTATGAGAAGAAGCAAATGGGAGGTAGGGGGGGGGGGTTACGAAAGCAAAGTCTAATCTGGTGAGTTAGAGAGAAAGGTTTATAGGTGCGTTAAATAAGTATAATTCATGTTGAACTAAGAGTAAACGGTGGTCACTGGGGGCATTCGGTGATTTCAGTGTCAATTTAAAAGTTTATGGGACTACTGCGTCCAGAGTAGAGTTAACTCCAGTGGGAGAATGATAAAGATCGGTTATATCTTATAGCTGACGAGGACAAGTACTAGCATGGTAAAAGTTGCCAAAGATTATGTGTTGGTTTACATCTAACCGCTGGACAATAAAAGGGATAATTGGATCGAATAATTTTATGTGATCAGATTTTTTATACAGGAAAGGGTTATGAACAAATTATTATAAATCTGTGTAAGTGAGTTAGGAAGATCTTGGGTGGCATAGCACGGTTAGACATGTAACATTCTTCGAGCAGTACTGAAAAATAACATGGGGCTTGCCACCCCAGGGAACGTTAATGTGTATCATGAAACTATCTCCAGTCTTCATTACTCCGGTTCCTCGATCCTGTCACTGAATTCGCAAACCGTCTGTAGAGTACTATCCACAACTGGATTTATCCGGGATTCTTGCACACAAACTACACAAGTGTTCATATGAATCCAATATTTTTGGAAACTTTGCGAGTGCCAGCACTGATTGATGAAGGAACAGTCAGTCATCTTGGCTAAAGGGGTGCAACCAAAAGAAACTTGTTAGCCTAGGCGCTTGTGTTTTGAGGTCAAGCCGATCAGCGAGAAACTAGAGACACACAAGCTGATAAACAATCGAATGAATTTTACGCCACTGTAAGTTGCAATATAATGTGAGCTTTATCCATTCACATAATTCACATAATTGAGAAGAACATATCACAGAAAATAGATCTCACAATTGGTGTACTGGATGTGACACACATCGGTGGGATGATACGGTGACTCAAATAATCGCAGTTTGTTAAAAATGACCCGAGTATTCCTACATTCCCCATCGCTTGTTGGAATCATCATGCCTAGGATTTATATCTCATTAACTTTTGTTTTTATTATGCTCATATGCGCGCGCATAGAAATAGTTCTCTATTCGAATTATTAGTTCTGTTAGAGACTAGAATTTGTTTTTGTATTGTATTTGTATAGAATTTTGCGAGAACCGAATGTTCGCATTTCAGTCAAAAAATTACACATCTCAGCAATAGAAGGAAAGATACAAGTAAAATA